TTTGTAAGAGGAAGCTAATGATGGCTGGAATGGTGCAATTGAAAAACACTTCAACAACCAAGAAGTATGCAAAGAAAAAGCTGCCGACATAAGGTTAAAGACAAATAGAAAAAATATGGTACCTTAAAAAAAGACCTGTTGGAATATTAGCCTAAAATTAGAGAGTATTTGAGGAATGGGCAGGTGATAAACACAAACACACTCCTTAATACTTCACGATACTCTTTTTTCACACTTCTATACCAATTTCTAGTGCAGCTACCTTTATATTGTTGTATCGTAATATTGAGGCAACAATTTGCAGAAGAATTTCAAAAATGGTTTCCATTATGAATGTGTAAATAAATGGGAGAGAAATTAATTAATGTATTATTATTTAATTAAATAAATGCACCTACCTATATTGTTGTTGTATCGTAATATTGAGGTAAAAATATTCCGAAGAGTTTCAAGTAATGATTTCTATCATAATTGTAAATAAATGAAAGAGAAATTAATTAATGTATTATTTAATTAAATAAATGAGTAATAAATAAGTAATAAGTAAATGAGTAAAAAATAATTAATAAGTAAATGATTAGCTTTTAATTTATTATATTCTCGAATCATTTATATAATTTCCTAATTATATCAATTAAATTAAATTGATGAAATTTTTTTTTCATCAATTAATTAAATCTTTTATAAAGATTTTTTGAAACAAAGGAGAAAAAATTTCTAAACAAAATTATTCGATTAATTAAAAATTGCAAAATTAAATGTTATGAAAGTGATGGTAATTAATAATACAAAAATAATGGTAATTAATAAGCTTAGAAATTAAAAGTAAAAAATTTGAGGGTAAATTTATTTAAATTTAATTTTTGCATATTTCGATGATTTATTAATTATTGCATAATTCTTTTTCATTTCTAATATTAAGGTAATTTTTAATATTATAGGTAACAATTTTATGACAGTAAATTTGAACGATAATAATGAACGAACTCATTTTTACCTTTTAAATCTTACCTTTTATATTATCGATAATCTATTACGGTATAATTTAGAGAGGCTTTGATAATTACAATTAAAAAGAGGTTACCGACAATTGAAGCTCTTCACAAATACTACCGCAGTTGCAAATCAAGCACAATAGGAGGTGTCGCATTTACTAAACTTCTTGTAAGGGATACTTTCATCTTCCAATTAATTATTGCTAAACCGTAATTTATCCCTAATAATTTGCGCACCTTTTCTTTTTCATCATTTTTGAAACATCTTCCTTGAATTCTTTTTACTTTTCTTAATTGCGATCAACTTTAATCATCGTGTTGCAATTACAACTTATTAATTATATTTCAAGTTTTATTAAATATGATAATAATCGTTTGTCATTAATGCTTTATGAGTTGAAAGTGCTCCTTGCAAGAAGTTTAATTTCAGTCACTTTTATATCAAACTTGTTATTTAATAAAATTATATAATATGCTTAATTTTAATATACAATATGTTTAATTATAGTATTTTCAATGAAAAGAATCTTACATAAAATGTATGTCTTGCATTCTTTTTGATTTACTTTAATCTTTTCAAATTTTAGTTTAATAATTTCAAATTTGAAATAAAGTTTGATAACAAATTTAAAATAATTTTATAGTATATATTAATATGATTTACCTTAATCTTCTTAATTCGTTTTTTAAATTTAATTTAGTAATTTCAAATTTGAAATAAAGTTTGATAACAAATCTAAAATAATTTTATAGTATATATTAATATGATTTACTTTAATCATTTTAATTCGTTTCTTTTTCAAATTCTAGTTCAGTAATTTCAAATTTGAAGTAAGGTATGATAACGAACTTAAAATAATTTTATAGTATATATTAATATGATTTATCTTAATCTTCTTAATTCGTTTTTTTAAAAATTCAAGTTTAGTAATTTCAAATTTGAAATGAAGTATGATAACAAATTCGAAATAATTTTATAGTATATATACAATATAGTATATATTAATATCAGCTCTTTGTTTCACTCTATATATCTTATGAAGAAATTTCATGAAAATTTTTATCATAATTTTATTGATTTCTTGTTTTATCTTAGCGACATTCAATAGAGGAAGAGATGGAAAAGATAAATAACATATTGATATGTGATATATTAGTGCATCAGAAGTGTTAGTATTAAGAGCGCTTATCAGTCAAGAATAATTGCATAGAAAAGCGCTGCCGCTTTAGTGTACATTGTGGATTTGGATTTTTTCCTAAGATGAAGTGCCTAGCACCGTTATTTTACCTTCATCGATCATTAACAACAAAATTTGATGAAATATTTTTAACTGCTTTTATCACTTGTCTCATTTTCTTATCACAAAAGAATGTCAATTTAAATTTGAAAATTAATAAGGCTGGTTATAAATGTTATTTCATTCATCGTTACTATTCGAATAATTTCAGACCAATGTTTGTTCTTTAATTGTGTAAAGCGTTTAAAAAAGTTTACAACATTGATATCGAAGTATTATCAATAGTTTTACAATATCAACATAGATGCATTATCAATAATTATACAATATCAATATCGAAATATTATCAATAACTATATTATAATTTTCATTTATTACTTTTCCCATGTATCAATAATTATGCAATATCGATATCGAAGTATTATCGACAGTTATACAATATTGATGTAGAAGTATTATCAATAATTATACAATATCAATATCGAAATATTATCAATAATTATATTTTACTTTTCATTTATTAACCCATGCTTGACATTTCATCTTGTTAGACAATTAAAATAGTAATAAGGAATATCATACAGTTCAAGGTGATCAAAGTATCCAATATATTCTATTCGATAAATTTAATGGCATATACGAGGATAGATACCATAATCAACAAATTGATAACTGAAAAATTAAGTAATACTATATGGTTTAATAATTTTATTAATTATTTCTATTAATTATTTTATTAATTATTTTCTAATCGATAATTTTATTAATTATTTCTACGCTTAGAAGAATAATTTCATATTAGTTATTTTGAATTTGATGAAATAATAGGGAAAAATTTTGTTATCAGTATAATAGACATGATAAAAATAATTGGTAGTAAAGGAATGATAAAAATGATTAGTAGTAAAGGAATGATAAAAAGTACAAATGATCATTTCCTTATGATCCATTCTACACTTTTCTTCTCATTTGATACATATATGACAACAAATCTACCGCTAATCCGTGCACTCAAAATATCAATATCCGTGGAAACATGAAAAAACTGTAGCGACATAACTATTTCAAGAGAAAAAAAACCGAAAATCCGATAAGACTTCTTAGAATGAAAGGTCATACCTTTGAGTTCAATTCTTTTCCGCCCCTCTATTAAGGTAAGAACTAACATCTGTTTTATTTCACAAAATTCTGACCATGAAAAATCGTTTTATCTACTACCTGTTATCAAAAAAGAAAAATTGAAATTTATCATTTTTGAAATTTTGTAATAACAATAAGGTTAATGAATAAACATATAAATAACAGCTTAATAAATCAGAAATAACTGATTAACTAATTCAAGCGATAAAAATTATATATTATACTAACGAGCATAAAACTACTATTGCTAATGGTGATAACAGTATAAATCTACAATCAGTTACCATCTCTCATTGCATTTAACAAAAAGCATATCACCGATACGATGATCCTTTTTAATTCACTGATAGCATTTCAGCAGTTTACTTGAAAGCGAAATTTCGAAACATTTGGACGCTACCGTTCTCAATCCACTGATTTTTCTGCAAGTCTCAGTGTAGTGGCAATTCCATCGATTTTCCTACTACCTCGTTTAAAAATTTAATTTCGGTTCGATCAGTTTAAATTGCACAGATCCTACCCAATTCAATTCGTTTCAGGTCAATTTAGTCCAAAATAATTCGAAACGATCTGCACCAACATATGCTAGATGATATAAGTGAATTCGATAATTGTTGAGAACTTCTGACCCCATTTAAACCCACTACAATACAAGGGGTGAAAAGTGACTGCTCATTTTGTCATCTTCAGAACTGTCATTTCCAACCAGCACTTTCACTCTTCCCATTCATCTATCGTCAATGTTTGCCCAAGCAAGCTTCTCCGTTCAAACGCAAATGCACGTTACGCAATCGACCTTTCGCATAGCTTTAAATAACCTTCACCAAATGACAATCAAAAGGCCTTCCGATCACGTTTTTTATAAAAATACACCTTTCATTGCAAATAATTTTATTTGCTGCGTAAATATCGTTATAATTCGGAAAATCAGTGTCAGTCTTTTAATTTGCTTTTGGGCACAACAAACAAAAAATCCGGGAACAGGTATGAAAAGTGAGCAAGCTTAGAACTCACTTATTCATTAACAAATATTGCTAGAGATGGCACCAAAACGGACAAAATCGCTTAAAATATGATAAAAATCTTTCTCCTCTAAATTCTCCTTCTTCTAGCCATATATTTTGAGCAAAAAAAAGTTGAAAGCAATAGTACATGATGTATACAGAGCACACGAAAAATTAATACTTTTAAAGATTAGCCACAAAATCTTTAGCCAAATTAAGAAATTCACATGTCAACAATTAAGACCAATTTAAATTCCTCTTCTTCTGCAGATCCAGTTTCAAAACTACCCATGGGCTATCTGTTATAAAAAATAAGAATTCCTATTTATAACAACCTCCACTACCTCCAACAAACCTTTCAGGTTGTTTCCAATCATTCAACTTTATAAAATTCAAAGTAAAGGATAACAAAACTTATCAATGAATAAATAAAACACTGAAATTGTTTCGTAAAACGCTCATAATATTTTAAAAATTTAAATAAAAGGCAAACAATGAAGATTATAAAAATAGCAAAAATGTATTGGTAATTGCAAACCCATATGTCCAGAGCACAATTTTAAAGCAGAAACACTATTCTTCAAAACAATAAGGAAATCAAAAAAATGTAAAACTAGATACTATTATGATGTTTGACCAGAATGCACTGAATCTTCCAATTCAGTGTTTTTCTGCTCTTTCTCCTCTTCATCATCATTAAGATCACGTCTACCTGCAATTTAATTCTCCCTGTAAAACTCCTTCTCTTAGTAATATTTATTGAAAGTTAAATAAGTTATTTTAAGATGATTGTGGAGAGGAATGAAATATACTCTCACAGACAATTAACCTAATAAAAACATATATGTGTGTTCATCAACATATGTGAAACTATATAGATATAAGACAAAGCTAAAAAACTCACTTTTGAAGCATTCCGTTCGAATAACACACCTCATAAAATTCATGAACTCTGTTGCACAAGCTCCTTCGTCCAATTCTCCTTCCTCAGCATTTTTCTGACACTTCATTGCTTCACGAAATTCATGACCACACGGACTGGCGACTAAGTGCCCAACACAGTGACATTCAAAATTCACACTTCCATCTGGTAATGTTGGACCTAAAAAAATTATTTAAACCATGAAAAAACTCTATGCTGAAAAGTACCTTCCCTAAAAACAATTCTTGCTTATAATTTTTGTAAAGGGGGTTTCCTGAAACAAAGGATGATGACTGCAACAACATCCTGAGTTGCAGAGACTTAAGTTCAAATTCCAACCTGAATACCTGGATTGTATTTGTCATCGAGTTCTGCATATGATAAACGTGCCACTGACTCAACATAAGCATCCTGGATTGGTTCATTGTATTCTTCTTGCGTTATTCTGTGGATCTAAACAATGCGATAACATATGCTTGTATTATTAAACTGATAATGCATTCTATAAGTTGAAATTGGAGCTCAGCATATGGCAAGTGTTACTTGTGATGTGCGCTGGAAGTAAAATTGCATAATTTAAGACCAATAAGCATAGAGATTAAAAGATCTTTTAAAGGAGAGAGACGGAAGAGAACAATCCAAAAATACCAGTTCTGATGGAGAAATTGAGCTGCAGCAGAGGAGAAACCGAAAATACTACCAGTTTTAAAGTAACTCACAAATTTTCAAAAATTCCTCAGAATCTTATCGCTTTTTGATGAATTATTTCTACTCTCTTAAACTCATAAATCGAATCACATTTAAAAATGTTAAATTTGTATATGTTGAGAATTGTATGTACTGAGAACTTTCCGTGAATTGTCAAGTCAAAACTTTCTACGACAAAAGATCGATGTATTGTTGGAATAAAAAAATATATGGTTGTTGGGAGAAACTGGAAAACATCAAATACATACCACATTTTCGCCATCAATATCACTTTCCATCCCCCACGGCTTCCATGGTACCCCAAAAAGCAGGCTCCCCAATGATCTTAATCGATCCATTTGGCTCGCAATGCAAAAATGGTGTCCAAGTAAAAAAGTGAAACTAGAAAATTGGAACCAATGCTTGCATGTCTGTCTGCTTACTCATTTGGCAGGTGCTTTATTTCAGGTATTCATTTTTTTATTTATTTACTTTTTGTTACTTATTTTTTTAGCCTTCCTTAGCAACTCATTCAATGGATAGCATTACTAACAAATGAAACCTTTGATATAGAAACTGATACACAGAAGATGTTAAATGTTAGGAAGAAAGATATATGAGGGATGAATGAGCAGTTCTGAGAATTATATTTTAATGTATATCATATGTTATATTTATATATGTTGTTATTTTTAATTGTCTTTATTGACAATTACAATAGCTATATTTATTGGCCAGAACCTGTTCCATTCAAATGATCATTGCTTGTTTAAAGAAATTACTTTTCACTTTCAATTTAATTCACTCGTCTTTCTTTCATTTTCAATTTAATTTATTCTCCTCCCTACGCTACATTTCTTCCAATATTTTCACCAATTTCTCATAATTTATACTCATATCATACAAAGTGCACATATTGAACAAACGTTAGATAATGCTTTCTCGAAAATGCTATAATGTTTTCATTGTATCTCATTTATTGATTAATCAGGGATATTATCGCCTTTTGTAATTTCAGCTCTCGTTTAAAGCTTATTCAAATTTTGTTTGAAAATTAAAATTATGTTATCTGATTTTTAGCTTAGTACCAGTAGTGTAATTTAGGCTAATCACATGCTTGGAAGAAAAATCCATTTTCATTGAAATTTTAGTTAGAATGAACTTCATCTGTTGATATTATGATTACTGAAATAAGTTATGCTTTTAGATTTTCTTTTCAAAATCTCGTTTTAAATTCAGTATAATGATTTTATGGTACAAAGATATTGTGTCACATTCTACACGCTGACACGTATTTAGCATAATTTTAGGTCATACTCTTTCCTTTCCTTCTCTTATCTTCATCTTTTTCTTTTCCTTCTATCATCTCTCATCACATTCTTGTCTATTCTTCTTTCACTCTATTATTTTAAAAATTTTTGTCAAATGAATTCTTCCTTCAAAACTTCAAATTTTCAGGAGTGATTCACGTCATTTTCACGTGGCATTCAAATTCACCGTTCATCCTACCTGAACAATTCAACTGAAAATACATTTGCCTATACCGTTCAAGTTTCCATCTTCAGGAATTCATTCATATCGTTAGATAATAAATAAGAATCGATGGATACAAGGATGATGCTGCTGTCAATCGTTGTATTAAACGCTGTCGATTTCGCTGGAGGAAATCGACGCAGAAACCATCGTAACATAATGTGATATTTTCATGAATATTATGAATAATAAACTAGCCCACATATTTAAACGTTAATTGATTTTTTTAAAATTTGATCAAAATTGATTTTAATAATCAATCAATGATAACAGACAAAATAGCGTAGAAGCAGTTAGGCAAAAGATATGTTGTTTGAGAATTTTCAAGTAGTGTAAATGTACTGCCATATGCACGCACAGATGTCTACAATATTTAATTATCTTTATATCACTGAAATGTAGAAATTATATTATTTTTTTTTGTATGTATTATGAAAAATGAATTTTACAAGTGGAATATTAAATGCAGAAAGTATTAAATACAAAGAGTTTCAGCAAATAAAACTAAAAGAAATTCAAATTTAGCTGTAATAACGGTAATGTAATCGGTGGCCGATGTGTGTGTATTGATGGCTATAGTGGTACTTACTGCAATCGAGTAATGCATTGCAAGTTAAATAAATTTCGATCGAATGGAAGGTTCCGGTTTCCAATTTGCGATTTGAAATATAGTGGATTTACTCAGCGTTGTGAACAATATTTTAGCTGGATTATAAAACTGAAATACGCACATGAAAATCCTGAATAGAAACAAACTTTAAGCTGCGAGACTTAAGATATAAACGAATAAAACCTTGCTAAGTAAGCGTTAATTAATTTGTTTAATTTTCTTTTAAATTTGATCAAAATTGATTTTAATAGTTTAGTGATAATAGGCAAAAGAGCGTAGAAATAATTAGGCAAGAAATATATTGCTTGAGGAGACAATTGAAATTCACATTATTCAATTTCCTTTTTTATTTTAAGGGAATTAATGAGTAATAATAATAAGTTGTTTCCAACTAAATGGAATAAATAAATGATAGTTGAAGAGTTGGAATGAACAATGGGACGCGTTAAATTTTTTCTATCTGGTTGTAAGTTATGTGGAGCAATGGATTGAAGTATCAATCTAGTTGCAGCAGGTACCAGAAGACTGCAGCCGCCCATTGAAATCATTATTGCATGAGCTTTCAATGCGGTGATAGTGATCATAAATTAAGAGAAGTAAAACGAGAAAAACAAATCCATAAGAGGTGTAAGTAAAAAATTTCAGTTGCATCGATTGCGCGGATGGCTGGACAGGTACTAATTGCGACCAAATTCAATGCGTTCATGGTGTGCCAGATGCAACTGAACAAAATTGCGTATGTAATTTACCATATAGCGGACAATTCTGCAAATCCTTGGAAACATCTGATGTTTACTCTTACTACAATCATAAGGTATATTTCATTTCACTTTCAGCACTGCAACCACTGTTTCTTATTCACTTTGAATGATTTTGCAAGATTTTTATAATGACTGTTTGGAATAAAATATTAACAGCATGCGATCACTTATGTAACCGGGACAAATAGCTAATATCATAGAGCTGCGAAACATATTACAGAAACCTCAAGCCAATCCACAAAGTATTGTTATATGCTAATCAACTGAAATAAAATGCTAACAATTTATTCAGGTTTTTAAAATGGGACCAATTGGCGCTTTATCAATAATACCACTTTTGGTGATTTTGTTTGGATGTGAACGGACAGCTAAATCTCGAAGAATTAAACGTGTTGAAGAACATCTAAACGGACAGAATATAATCGTTAATCGTCGTAAAATATCAACATTTCTCACCACAAAAACAAAAAGTGCCCAATAATTAATAATGATTCATCTTTTTACTGTGTTAAAAAATCATATTTCTCATAACGAAAATAGCATATAAATAAATTAACGATGTACTCCCTCTCTTCTATCATTTCTAATTAGTAATAAAACATTTTCCGTTTCGCCACTCTCCGTTTTTCTTCACTATTATTGTCAACCATTTCTTTTTGTCAACCACATTATTTCGTGACATAAAATTGTTTAGAAAGAAGAAATGAACTCTAAAAAATATGAACTAAAGTATGACAATCAATTATTTGGAAAAACAAGAATCGAGAAGTGAAAAAATTATTATCATTATTTTTCTGTACAAATTACTGAATAAAAAAAGGGACGTTTTTATGATAGATTTTGTTGGAATTGTTGAAGAAAGAAAGAAGCCGATTTAATGCACTATCAATTTTTCTATTGAAAGTTGAAAAAATAAAAGAAGAAAGAAATTGGTAATTAAAAGCGTAAATGAGGGACCTTTATTTGTTGTTTAACATTTGCGATAAATCATTCCCAGTTTCAAATATTACAATACTGTGATACTAAAATAAATGCTAATTATATATTGAATGAAAATAAGGCGATGGTGATATACTACACTATTCGATTGCAGTCGAAATTTTTATATTATCTGGTCGTCAGAATTTTATTAAACTCCAGATTTATCGTTTCAGATTTATTGAATTCCTCATTCTTTTCATTGACAGTTTGAGTGAACTTTATTGATAGTGAGTTAACTTCACTTAGACTGTCAGCAAGCAATGAGAACTGCTATAAAAATAACAGAATAAACATAAATCAAAAATGAAGTTAATTAAAAAGTGAACTTTATTGATAGTGGATGAAGTGAGTGAACTATATTGGTAATGAATGAACTTTTCATTGACAGTCTGAGCGAACTTTATTAATATTGTATATTTGACAGTTGCTTAATTAAAGCTTTCTTTCTTTGCAGTTAGTAAGACATCCTAATTTCAAGCAGTATCACTTTGCTTTAAACTTATGCTAGAAACTTTTGCAATTTTAACTGATGATAATGAAATTTTGTTTGAAATTAATCAAGCATAATATTTACTATATATTATTAATTCACTTATTTCAGGAGTAGAAAATATTAGATCAAGTTTATTTATGCATTTAATTAAACGTATGCGATTTTAGCTGCGACATTTTAGCGAAAAACATGAAAAATAAATTAGCAATAAGGATTGCTATAAAAATAATAGAATAAACATAAATCAAATTTTGCAACAAAAAGAGTGTTCGGATTTTTTTTATTAGTCATACCATGGTGGAATTGGTACTTCACGAAAGGGACCTAAATCACCTGTCCAACCTATTGAACCAGGCCAGAAAAATTTTTTCTGTTTCAGAATAATCTCATCAGGCATGAATCTTGGAACACTTTGTGCTTTTTGTGCTTGTTGATCATTTGTATTCCACCATGGTACCAATTGCATCTCGTAGGGATTCTTTTTGAGTATCCAATTTGGCCAAGTTAAATTTTTGCTAGGCCAATTATACCAATTTTTCATCTTACTGCCAGTCTTTTTTTGAAATTGCTTTTCCAGAGTATTAGATTGTTGCATACTTCCTTGCTGCTTATCATTCATCTCGGATGCTCCCCCTCTATACATCTTCGATTCATCGATATTAGTGGAAGCCCATATTGGTGTTATTTCTGTTTGCAACAATTTCGCTCTTTGTTTCTTTGCTCCTTCATATTGATGATTCCTCAGAATATTTCCGGTATTGTATTGATTGTTGTAACCATTACCCCATTCTTGACCTTTAGAATGTTTGTAATTTCTGCCATAATTATATTCCATATTCCATTCCTCTGAAGGTTTATCCAATGTTTTCAACTGTTTTATCGTATCAACATCGAAATAATCTATTGGTTGTAAATTTGGTGATGAATTAGCAACGCCTAAAATATTTCATCTTTAATTTTTAAATTTTTGAGAAGTAATTCTTGTACCATTTTGCAGAAGAAGTTATTTCTTAATTTCATTCATTAAAAATTTATTAATATTAACCGTATCAGTAAAAATAGCAAATTATTTAAGAAGAAAAAATTCTGCTAATATATTTATAATTATTCATTAAATTCTTGCATCGATTTGCATGCATGCATGCATGCAAGACATGCATTTTGAGCACAAAAACAAGTGAAAAAAATTCTTCCACACCTTTACCGATAAAAATTAAACACTCTAAATTAACGATGATTATCAATGAATGGATGAATTTTAGGATAATTATTAATGAGTAGATGAATTTTAGGATATAATTCAATTATTTAAAAAATAATTGCAACTTTTATTATAATTTTTCTACATAGTTATACCAAATGATATCACATATATTGATGAATTTGAATGAATGTTAAGTAATCTTAATAAAGTAAAAATTGATAGTAATTAAGTAATAGAAGAAATCATACCGTTGAATATATTGAATATTATTAGAAGATTGAGGAGAATTTGAGCAGTTAAAAACATCGTATTCAATTATTTCAGATTAGTTGAAGATGAAGATTTATATAACTTCACAAAAGATCTCGTTTTACTCTCCGATTATCTCTTCCACAAAATCTCATACCCGTTTCTCGTTATCATCAAATTAACAATACATAAAATTATGATTTATTGTTGCAGAAATGTAAGATATTGTAAAACTGTATGAAATATATATATAAAAAAGAGAAACAAGTCTTTAATAATTAGTAATTATTTATAAAATTAACATATTATACATTTTATAGCCAATAGAACTAATAATATTATTTTTGTTTCGATAAATTATTTTATAGTATTAATGATGATATGATGATGATGACAGTTAACATTTCCGTTTCATTAAAATATTTGTTAATCAAATTTAATTACTCTATGTTATATGATTGCTTGTTTTATCTTTTCATTTCAATTTTTTGTTTTTGTTATTTTATAGTATTAATGATGATGATGATGATGATGATGATGAGATAGTTCACATCTATTGTTGTTGTCATATATTTGTTATTCAAAAGGGAATCAGAGTCGATAATATAATTTATTATTAGACAATGAATTCAAAATACTCCAAATTATTTCATAAAATTTTGAGCTAACAAAAATTTATAACAGCTGGAACAAAATACTGCATGAAGAATTAATAGCCAGAAGTTATGGATCAATAGAAGCGGTTGCAATTGCTCTTGCTTGAGCACTTATTATTTTATTAGCACCCTTCCAACTTTTCCTATTTTCACCGCTATGATCATTCTTCCAGCTATTCAAATTTTCATCATCTGGACCATTCTTCCAACTCTTCCAATTTCTACCACCTGAATTACTCTTCCAATTTCTCCAGCCAGTATATTCGCGATTTCCGCCATCTGATCCCTGATCATCCGCTACAACAATACTTATCATTTGTTTTTGCAAACAAAAACAAAGTTCTTAAATTCTGAAAATCTTTTTTCCCATAAATTTGCTATGGAGAAAGTTTGGTAATTTTGCTTTACAGTTCAAAGGTCATCTTATTTTATTTATACTTCAAAAAAAAATTTTTTTCTTTCGGGAATATAATTTGATATGAACAAATCATATTCTATCATTTATGATTAGCATTGAATATTAATGATCGCAAAAAAAGTTTTTCAAAAATCTTTTCTAATATTCACCAAAAAAAAAACATATGACCTTTGAACTGAAAAGCAAAATTACCAAACTTTCTCTATTTCTCTTGCAATACTCTTTTTGTGATAGCTTAATCTCATAATTATATTTTTTTTTTAATTAAAAAGAATATAAGTTTGAAAAATAATTTTGAAATGCTTCTTACGAATAGTAGTAAATGTTAAAATTTAAAGTTAAAGATAAAATTTTCAACCTTCCCATTTACTCCATTTTTCACCACCTCCGCTGTTTTTCCAGCTATCCGTATTGGTGTTACCCCAAGAGGTGTAAAATTCCGGTCGTTGAATAACACTATCGCTCCAATCACCGCTTTGATCATTTTTTGCAAAATCATTACTCCATTTACCCCATCCATGACTACCACCATTACCCCAGGACCATTTATGCTTACTAAATGTATCCCAATTATCATCTGAGATTCCTTTCTTATCCCAATCAAAATTCCCATCACTCTGTCTTGATTGCCATAAATTTTGCCATCCATTTTCCACATATTTTCCACCATTACGATCCGAACCATACCCAACCCAACTTCTATGCATTCCATTTCCACCCGATGGCATTTTTCCGCTCCAATTTTGCCTCCATTCTACTGTAAAATTAATTTTTAAAATTTTGCTCAAATAAGCATTCATCAATATGCAAATTTATCCTATGCTATTGGTAAATAAGTAAACAAAGTATGAATTAATAAATCAAATTATTTCAACATTTCCTTAATTGGATATAAAATTCTTATAACAATTATCAATTAGGCTATACTATTTGTAAATAAATAAACAAAGTATGAATTAATAAACTATATAAATTAAATATGAATTAATAAATCAAACTATTTCGACATTTCCTTAATTAGATATAAAATTCTAACAGCAGTGGTATCAATTAGGCATTTTGATACTATTGTTATATCTATTCTTAATTAAATTTATATACTATTGTTAATTAGATTTCTATTTGTAAATAAGTAAACAAAATATAAATTAATAAATTGTATGAATTAATAAATAATTAATAAATAATTCAAATTAATAAATTAAATTTCAAATTAATAAATAATTCAAATTATTTCGACATCTCCTTAATTTGATATTAAATTCTTCAATAACAGTAATATCAGTTAGGCTGTTTATTCGTTTTTAAAGAATAAAAATAAACCTGATGGATTAGTGGAAGAGTATCGTGCAATTAACAAAATTAAGAAGGGAAAAAATGAATACATGAAAATGAGCAAAAATATTAGCTGTAACGAAACTGTCACCACTGCTATCCAAATTTCATTTATATATAAAATTTAAAAGACAATACAGCGGAACTGAATAATTAGCTCTTTTCATCTTACCTTTTTTTTTTCTCCCACAATTATAAATTCGGCTTCTTTATTAATTTCTTCACAATCCTAAATTCCATCTTATTATTAATTTCAACAAAGAGTTGAATGAATACCTGTTCTAAGGTAGCTATTATCAAAAAACAAATAAAAAGTTATTAAAACAAGAAATTTTATTGCTCAGAAAATATAATTTAATTTGGGTCAAGGGGTGAAAAAAAAGAGGAAATATGCTAACAAATGATATTTATTATTACTGTAACACTTTTGATGTTATTTTTTCATAAAAAAGAAATTGGAATTTTTAATACAACTAACTGACCCATTTAAAATGAATACCTGTTCCAGGGATGCTATTACCTGTTGTTATTAATAAATAATATGGTCTACCTGTTATTACGAAATTATATGGCCAGTTATTGGGTGATATTTTATTATCAGAAATTTTTATTGTATCACAATGTGATTTAAATTATTATTATTTACTTCAAAATGACGTCGAAAATGAAATTAACGCTTACACGCTATCAGCGTATCATCATATGCCACAATGATATATCTTTTGAACTGAGTTATTATTATTTATCATCACTTCAGAATGACGTTAAAAGTGCAGTTAATATAGCACACTATCAGTATATCATCATATGCCACAGTGATACATCTTTTGAACTGAATTATTATTACTTATCGTTACTTCAGAATGACGTTAAAAATGCAGTTAATATTAGCACACTATCAGTATATCATTGTATGCCACAGTGATGCATCTTTTGAACTGAGTTATTATTACTTATTTTTCAGAATGATGTTAAAAGTACAGTGAATACTAGCACACTATCAGTATATCATTATATGCCACAATGATATATCTTTTGAACTGAATTATTATTACTTATCATTACTTCAGAATAACATGTTAAAAGTGCAGTGAATACTAGCACACTGTCAGCATATCATATCATCATTTCAGAATGATGTTAGAAATGTAATCAAAGCTTTCAGCGTATCATCATATACCACAGTGATACATCTCTTGAATTAAACATTACTTCAGAATGACGTTAAAAATGCTATTAACGCTAGCACACTATCAACTACAGTGATATATCTCTTGAATTAAATTATCATTACTTTAGAATGACGTTAAAAGTGTAATCAATACTAGCATACTATCAGCATAACATGATATGCCATAGTGATACATCTCTTGAATTAAATTATCATTACTTCAGAATGACATCAAAAATGCAATTAGCGCTATCACACTATCAGCCACAGTGATACATCTCTTGAATTAAATCAACATCATTTATCATTAATTATCACTACTTTAGGAAAATTGTGGAAAAATGCAATCAACACTAGTAGTATATTATCATCGCAATAATTCATCTAAAAAAACAATTCATCTTTTTCTTTGATTATTTCCAATTTTCATTATTAATTATTATCTTAAACAGTGCTCCATCATTTTATCACCACTGATTATTGATTAAATCGGAACTAATCACATTACAGATAATCAATAATGCTTGTGATATATATTTTTATCATAAAAATGAAAAATTTAAATTTTACTTTAACTAATAAATTTATGGTTAATTTATTTGAAAATTTACAATTAACAAAGAATTATTAAATTCCAAAATTACTAAAATATTCTTTCAAAAACGAGTGGGAAGAGAATAAAAAGGGAAGAGATTATTCTTAAGGCTTTTCACCGATCACAGGTAAATTCAATATGATACGAAAGTAATGATAAGTGAATCAAGGTGAGATATCTCGGGAATATTGCTTGCTACTCATAGAACTATATAAAAATATTTATTCATTCTGAATTCTTTTAAATTATCTGAAAAATTTTTATTGCTGGTAATAGCAAAAATTTACTTATGATTTATCTAGAATAAAAATTCAACTCGATGAGATCTATGGTACTTTTTTAAAATCTATGGTACTTACTAACCTTCCTAATCATATATTAATCACCTTTTTATCATCTTATCATCTTATCATCTTTTTATTACCTTATCATCTTATCATTATCATCTTTTTTTTTGAGTCTCTTATCAAAAATTTAAAAGCTGTATAAATAGAGTTCAAAATTTGATTTGTCAAATATGTTGCAATCAAAATGTTTAATTCTTATATTGATTTTGATGATGGGTGGGAAAGAGGGATGAAGTGAAAAACAAATAAACGAAATTATTCAGATATACTGAAACAAACAGTAATTTAATTAGTAAAATTTATTTCTTAAACAAAATCGAGCGCTAAATTCTGTTCTGATCTATTACCTTGCTTTAAGCTAATTATTAAAATGTGATACTAAGACCTTAAGCTAATTTTTAAATGTGATACCTAACCTTAAGCTAATTATTAAAGTGTGCTGCTACCTTAGTTTAAGCTAATTACTAAAGTGTAATACTGAGCTTAAGCTAATTATTAAATTATTAAATTGTTAGAAAACTTATCTTTAGCTAATTACTGAAGCGTTAATACCTTATCTCAAGCTAATTATTATCTTATTTTAAGCTAATTATCAAAGTGTGAAAAAATTTATATTAATATTTTGTTATTTTAGGGAAAATGTCATGTGACAAATTTTTAGAACTTATAGAAAATTAAATGTGTACTGAAAGAATTTTAAAAACTATTATAATAGTATAAGATAATTAATTGATCGTTGTTAACAATCATTTCTTGTTTCCACAATCATTCTTCCACTACTTTTAAAGAGTTTTAAAAAAATGTAATTTTTATTTGCTATAAAAAAAGTGAAACCAAAAATCATGAAGATGAATTCTGAATAGTTTTCAATCAATTAATTAAATTCAATTCAATTAATAACTTTAATATAAAAGTACAAAGGAATTTAGGAAATAAAACAAATCACAGATTATCATTAACAGTATAGCCTAATTTAGTGGCAGAGAGAAAAAAGTTTTTTGAAATTTATTAACGTGAAAAGTGTTTGTTTCAAATTTTCTACGTCTTAATGATTGAATTCGTTAAGCGTGAAATGTGTTTCATTTCAAATTTCACACGTATACTCATTGGAAATAATAGTATGATAATGATAATGATATCAATTTTCTGAAATTCATTAGCGTGAAAAGTGTTAGTTTCAGATTTTCTACGTCTTAATGAAAAAATTTTTTGAATTCGTTAAACGTGAAATGTGTTTCATTTCAAATTTTACACGTGTACTCATTAGAAATAATGATATGATAATGATAATGATATCATTTTCATGAAATGGTATGAAATAGGATAAGAAGTTGTCAATGCGCACATATATCGGTGTTATATTTCAGAATATTAACACTGAAAACAATTGTGATAAATGTAAGCGATCGCCTATCATCTTTTTAAAAACTATTTACAAAGTTACCAATTGCTAAAGTTAACCATTTTTTTAAGCTTCAGGAACGGAATTGAAATTTACTGATTATTTGATATTGATTAATTTATTGATTAATTTACTGATTTACTGGATATGATAATATAGACAAGTAAATAAGTAAGTAAGGATATAGGTAAGTAAGTAATAGAACTTTGCCTTCTACGTGAAATGATCAATTATTTAATTGCTTAAAATGGAATGAAAATCGGTTTCAACCGTATAAAAAGTGTAACTAAACGGAAATCCGTAATTTCGTCATTTACGATGAATCATCGCTTAATACGATCAGATATTCAATTTATGATTAAAAATATATTTAAACTTTTAGTTTAATTTAAATAATACTTTGTTAAATTTAAAACAATGAAAGAAGAATTTTTTCAAGATTTTTTTCGAGGTTTTTATCAATTAATCAATCAATCAATACATTATCGAGAAACATTGTCATGTAATTTTATTTGGGCGCATTTCAACTAACATAGTTTGCATTACATACACACACACACATACACGCACACACATACATAGATTAATATATGTGTCACACACATACGCACATACATACATAGATTAATATGTATGTATGTGCGTGTATATACGTACAAACATGCACACAGACACATGCATATAAATATAAACATATATACATTATCAATCTATGATATTCAACAGTGTTAATTATTCTCATCTGTAATTAACGCATTATCATATTAATTAATAAATTGTCATTTTGAATTATTATTTGTGATTGATGAATTATCATTTTGTTATTATTTGATTAATTCTCAGTGAAGAAATTGTTT